TACGGCGTAAGACCTCTTCAAGTCAACAATAAAGTCAACGTTTTGAAACAGTTTGCGGCAAACGATGATGGAGAGCATGGGCTGCCCGAGCTAGCATCGCAGCAACGATGGAGCAGCGCGCCGCGGCGCTGGAGCAGGCCATCGAGAAGGACCTCGCCGCGGTCGAGGCCAAGACGAAGGAGGGCCTGGCCAAGGCCGCCGGCGCCGCCAAGCTCACGGAGGATGAGATCGTCGAGGAGCTCGAGGACCTGCAGCAGGGCGTGCGCGAGACCATCGAGACGGACGACTTCGACATGGGCAAGACGCTCGGCGCGACGACCTACTTCTACATGGATTTCCTCAAGGCGCTCATGGTCGTCTGCTTCGTCGCGGGCTGCGCGTCGGTGCCGTCGATCCGCGGCTACCGCCGCGGCCGCTACTCGACGCGGACGCGGCGCGACCGCCAAAGATTCACCTTCCCCTCCATGTCGCCCTTCTGCATGGACTACGAGACGGTGACGGCGACGGCGGGCTGCGCGCACGGCCGCGCGGCGTGCGACGCGCGCTACGCGCCGCGGTGCGCGCTCACGCGGCGCATCGCGGCCGTCGACGCCGCGGCGACGGGCGTCGCCGTCGTGCTGCTGGCCATCTTCGTCGCGACGGTCGCGGGCAAGGCGCGGAAGATCGACGAGGCCGTGCAGACGCCGCAGGACTACAGCGTCATGGTCACGGACCCGGACGCGGACGCGGACGACGCGGACGAGTGGCGCCAGTTCTTCGCGCGGTTCGGCGCCGTGCGCGCCGTGACCATCACGCGCAACAACGCGAGGCTCGTCGGCGAGCTCGCGGGGCTCTGGCGGCTCCTCGCGAGCCAGGCGCTCGCGCGGCGCCGCGCGAGGGCGGCCGCGCTCGAGCGCCACGTCGCGCTCGCGCGGCGGCGCGTGCGCGCGCTCTGCGGGCTGCGCTACGACGTGTCCTGCGTCTTCGTCACCTTCGAGCGGGAGCGCGACCAGGTCGCGTGCCTCAACGCGCTCACCGTCGGCTCGTACTCCGCGCGGACGGACACGACGGGCGACCCCCGCGTGCGCAAGTTCCGGGGCCACAACGTGCTGCGCGTCAAGGAGGCGCCGGAGCCGCCGGACGTCGGCTGGCGCGAGCTCGGGAGCGTCGGCGGGGCGCGGTCGACGCTCCAAAAGTTCGCGACGGTCGCGACGGTCGCCGCGGCGCTCGTCGCCGTGTCGTCGACGATCATCCTCGTCGCCACGGTGCGCCGCTTCCTCATGCTCCCGTCCTGGGGCGACGGCGTCATCGTCGCCGTCGTCAACGCCATCCTGCCCCAGTTCTTCAAGGTCTGGTCGAAGACCTTCGAGGTCCACCGGACGGAGTCGAGCCGGCAGCGGTCGCTGCTCCGCCAGCTCTACGCCGCGCGCCTGCTCAACGGCATCGTCGCCGTCCTCGTGACGCCGCGCTGGACCCACATGCTCCGGCGCGACACGCTGAACCGCCTGCGGGACATCCTGCTCGCCGACGTCGTGACGTCGCCGCTCGCGCGCGTGCTCGTCGCGGAGGTCTTCTTCCGCTGGGACCTGAGCCAGGCCCAGAGCCGCTGGGGCCTCGCCGTCGCGACGCGGCTGCGGACCTGGAAGGACGGGCCGTTGGGCGACTGGGTACCCAGGACCGTGATCGACGACGGCGCGGCGTACGACGTCCTGCCGCGGTCGTTCTCCACGCTCGACGCGTCGCGGAAGCTGCTCGACGGCGACCTCGCGGAGCGGCTCGCGGACGCCGTCAAGGTCGTCATCAACGCGACCATGTACTCGCTCCTCTTCCCCGGCGGCTGGTTTTTGGGGCTCGGCGCGCTCGCGCTCAACTACGTCGTCGACAAGTACCTCCTGCTCCGGCGGCTCCGGCCGCCGCGCGCGCGGGACCCCCACATCGTCTCCGCGGCGGCGCAGGACCTGCTGTGCCTCGTGCCTTTGATGAAGTTCGGCGTGTCGTTGGCGCTGGCGGTCTGCTGGCCCTTCGACGAGGCCGTCGCGATGAAGGGCGGCGGCTTCCGCGTCGTCGACAAGGGCCTGCCCTTCGGGGAGATCCACGATTTGGTCGACGTGCTCAAGCTCGCGGCGAACAGCGCGCGCCTGCGGCCGCGCAACTGGATGCCCAAGGACCAGGTCATCGCCGTGCGGCTCTACCGCTGGGCCATCGTCGCGTCGTTCCTGCCGCTCGTGCTCCGCGGCGTCTACCTGCTCTACAAGCAGCACGTCGCCCTCCTCCGGGGCGACACGAAGCCCGAGGACCGGGGCCGCGCCCAGGACATCCCCTTCACGGAGGCGCGCGACGCGTCGCTCCAGTGCTACGTGCCCGTCGTCCACGCGGACGGCTTCGTTTTGTGCGAGTGCGCGAACGTCAAGTCCGTGCCCTTCGACCACCTGCCCAAGTTCGGCCTGCCCCACAGCACGCGCATCGCCAAGCTCCTGGACCGCACGAAGGAGCAGGAGGCCGCGCGGCAGCGCGAGCTCCGGCGGAAGAAGAGCCGGAAGAAGCCGCGGCTCGCGCGGAACGTGGCCGCGGCCTACGACCTGAGCCGCCTCCTCTGCACGTGCCTCGACCGGGACCGCGCGGCGACGGCGCGCAAGAGCCTGAGCCTCATCGAGTACTTCGAGCCGCCGCCGCCGCGGACGTGCGCGCCGCGGTGCCTCGCGGTCGTCCAAGACGACCGCGTCGCCGCGAGCCGCGAGGCCGTGCACGAGGCGCTCCTCGCGGACGTTGGCGACGCGCTGGGCCGCGACGCCACCGGCGCGGCGATCAAGGACGACGCGGACGTCGAGCGCGCGGCCTTCCGCGTCGCCGAGGGCCGCGCGTTCCGGCCGAGGAAGCCGAAGAGGAAGAAAAGGAAGTCGGGCGCGAGGACGCTCCCGGACTGGTCCCTCGCCGCCGCGGAGGCGTCGGACCGCGAGGACGCGCTCTTCCTCGACTTCGAGCGCTTCGTCGGTGCGGTGCACGACTGCGGCGCGTGCGCGTGCGGCGCGCTCCAGCGGAACCGCCTCGGCCGCCTCTTCAACGCGCTCGCGCGCGAGCGCGACGACCTCGTCACGGCCGCGCGCTTCGCGAAGCGCGTCGTCGCGGCCTACAAGGCCCGCCACGCGCCCAAGGGGCCGCCGCCGGGCCGGAAGCCGCCCGCGAAGCTCTACGAGGCCCGGGACCTGCCGCGGCTCGTGCTGCCGCCGGAGTTCCCCCACGTCGACGCGGAGGCGGACGACGAGGCGCGCGACGCCGCGCGCCACGTCCGCAACGCCGCGCGGGGGCGGCGGCGGCGCGGCGACCGGCGCGACCGGGACGAGACCTACGCGTCGCGCGGGTCCGCGCGGACGCGCGCGCGGCCCGCGGAGCGGCCCGCGGAGAAGGCCGTGGCGCTCGCGGCGGGCGACGACGCCTGGCTCGCGTGCCTGGACCGCGAGAACCGGCCGGACCGGCTCAACGGCGCCGCGGCGATCCGCGTCTTCACGCCGCGCGGCGCGCCGCCGCCGCCGGGCTGGCGGCGGCGGCCCCTCGCGCCGCCGGCGCCGCCGCCGGAGGACCGCGCGAGCGACGGCGGCTCCTGCCTGTCGTCCGTCGCCTCGTCGCGGCCGTCGGAGTACCGCTGGAAAGACGGCGAGGTCGAGGACGACGACTCCGACGACGACGAGAGCTCGCGAGGGACGCGGTTCGCGCGCGCGCCGCCCCCGCGGCGAGGCTTCACGCCCGCGGGCACGCCGCTGCGACGGTGGCGGTAAGGAGGTTCGCAACTTAGAGCCGCGTGATGTCCCGCCCGAAGATGGCCGTCTTGATCCAGTCGAAGGTGACGAGGACGCGGTTCCGCGTCGCGACCTGCTTGACGATGTAGACGGAGCGCCAGAGGAGGTAGGCGGCGCTCCCCGCGTAGGCGCCGACGCGGAAGTCGCCGACCTGGAGCTGGCTTAACGCCTCGCCGCCGCCGACGTAGGCGAGGAGCCCGAGGTTGAGGAACGCGAACGTCGGCGCGTCGCCGCAGCCGCGGAGCCGCAGCCACGCGGCCGCGGCGGACGCGTCGTCGGCCCGGAGCGTCGGCACGTCGGCCCGCAGGTCGTAGCGCCGGTTGAGGAGCCGCGCGACGAAGGCGCCCTGCTGCCCCGCGACTTGCGCCGTCTGCGGCACGGGCTCGGCGTCGCCCGGCGGCCTGCAAAAAGCCGCGTCGCCGACCGCGAAGACGTCGCGCGCGCCCGGGACGCGCAGCCAGGCGTCGACGCGGAGCCGCCCGTCGCGCGCGAAGGCCGACGCGGGGAGCGTGTCGCGGAGGTCGTCGATGAGGGGCTGCGGCGCCGTGCCGGCGCACCAGACCGCGAGCGCGCACGGGATCTCCTCGCCGCCCGCGAGCACCAACTCCCGCTCGCGGACCTCGTCGACGCGGCCGCCGAGCACGACGTCGACGCCGCGGCTCCGCAAGGCGCGGGCGGCCTCGCCCCGGAGCTCCTCGTCGAACTGCGGGAGGAGCTCGTCGCCCGAGTGGACGAGGACGACGGCGGGGGCGTCAGCGGGCAGCCGCGGGTAGAGGCGCGACACGTCGCCGACGAAGTCGCTGAGCTCGCCGGCAAGCTCGACGCCCGTCGCACCGCCGCCGACGACGACGAACGTGAGGTCGCGCTTCTCCGCGCCCTCTCTCGCGCGCGCGGCCCGCTCGAAGCGCTCGCCGATGGCCTCGCGCAGCCGCCGCGCGTCCTCGCAGTCCTTGAGCTTGTAGCAATGCGCCGCGGCGCCGGGGACAACGGCGTCGGCGACGCGCGAGCCGACGGCGACGACGAGCGCGTCGAACTGGAGGCGCAGGCTTCGGTCGCCGGGTTCGCCGAGCGCCGCGAGCGCCGCGTCGACGGTCTTCGCCTCGACGTCGACGCGCGTCGCGCTGCCCTCGAAGAACTCCACCAACGGGTTCGCACTTCGCACGGACTCGGTCATGGAGCGGTACTCCACGGAGCCCACGGCCGCGGACGCGAGCATGGGCGTGAACACGAAATGATTTCGAGGCGACACGACGACGACGCGATAGAGGCTCGCGTCGACGACTTTGATGAGCGCGTGGCTCGCCCATCCGCTGCCGAGGATGAGCAGCGTCGGCCGGCCGTCGTCGGGCGCGGCGGCGGCGTCGACGGGCTCCTCGCCGAGGCGACTCAAATGCATCGCCGCGTCTTCGAGCGTGTCGAGGACGCGGTCCACCAGCGGCGCAGCACTCCTGTGCGTGAGCGCGGGCCGTGGCGTCGTCTGGTGCACGAACGCGCTCGCACCGAGGGCGATGACCGTCCAAAATCTCCTCATCGCGTCTCAAGATCTCGTTTTTGGTGAGAATTACCACTAAGAAATCGCCAATCTCGACGGTTCAGGCTGGCCAGGAGCAATCAGGCTCGAAGTCCCGCTTTACCCGAGGTACCCCTCGACGAGGTAGGCGCGGGCCTCGTGGGTCGTCGGGGACACGGGCCGCTCGTAGCCGAGGATGGCGACGTTCTCGGCCTCCTCGAAGCCCGCGCAGGCGCCCGGCGCCGTCGAGGGCCGGCTCGAGGACCCGGTCGTGCGGACGAGGCCCACGGTGCGCTTGTCGAGCGTGCGGCAGGCGTCGTCGTCGAGGCGCCACTTGAAGGGCGTCTTGTAGGCCGCGTTCTTCATGGCCGCGGCCGTCAAAGCGTCGACGGGGTCGAGCTCCCAGGGGCTCCAGGGGAGCTTGGGCTGGGGCTGGACGACCTCGACGAGCGGCCGGGGCAGCCGCGCGCGGACCGCGTCGTCGTCGGCCTGCTCGAGGTGGTGGTCGTCGAGCACGGCGTCGCTGAGCTTCTTGCTCCGGCGCCGCTCGAGCTCCGCCTCGGCGCGCGCCTCGCGGTCGAGCTTCTCCGCCAGCGCCGCGGTCGCGCGCGTCGCGGCGAGGCGCGCGGTCTTGGCGCGCGCGTTCGTCGCGTGGGTCCGGCGGTCCATCTCCCGCGCGTCCACGAGGCGCATCGTCGTCCCGTACAGGCCCTTGTTCGAGAGGTGGCGCTGCGTCCGCAGCAGGCCGCTCATCTCCGGGTCGTCGACGCGGAGCCGCGCCTCGTCCGCCCGCAGCTTCGCGTCGTGCTCCAGGAGCCGCCGCCGCCGCAGGGGCAGCGTCGTCGCGTAGGTTGTCTCCTCGCTGAGCCAGTCCGGCGACCGGGGCCCGATCGCCGTCGTCCGCGTGCCCCGCCTCAGCGCGACGACGATGAGCGTGCGCCGGTCCGCCTTCGTGAGCAGGGACCACCACGACTTGCGCGTGCCCACGAAGCGCGCCAGGCCGGGCCCCCGCAAGTAGTCCGCGGCGTCGGCGGCCGAGAAGTGGAGGCGGCACGTCGGGTCCGTCGGCAGGTGGCCGTCGCGCTGGAGGCGCCGCAGGGCCTGGACGATGGGCTCGAAGCTCTCGGGCGCGACGCGCTGGGAGCCGAGCTCGACGAGCTCGCTCTCGCCCGGGGCCGCGCGCGCGCCGAGCACGGACGGCGACGTCGGCCGCACGCGGACCTTGTCGTCGCGGTCGCTGCCGAGCGCGCCCGTGGAGTCGAGCGCGCCGCTGAGGCCGTTCCAGCCGTAGCGGTGCAGGTACGTCAGCGCGAAGAAGTAGCGCATCCACGACGGCGTCGCCTTGGATCGCGGCCAGCCGCCGAAGCGCGGCGCCTCGATGGGCAGGTACTCCCACTGGACCTCCGTGGACCAGCCGCTGCCGTCGGGCAATAATTTCGGCGCCGGGAGCCGGTGGCCGCCGCAGGCGTTGACGAGGCCCGGGCAGCCCAGCGCCGTCCGCCGGTGGCTCAGAAAGTCCGGCGCGTCCTCCGTCGGCGGCTCCGACGGCGTCGCGATCGCGTGGGCCAGCACCGACGGCCGGTCCGGCGGCGCGCCCGCGTCCCGCAGCGCGAGCTGCTCCTCGGCGTCGGCCTCGGCGATGACGTTGAGCGCGCCGGGCCCCCGCTCCGCGAGCTCCGCGAGCTGCTCCGGCGTCATGGGCCGCTCCATCGTGTGGATGTTCAGGTGCGCCTGGCCTAAACCCATCTTCGGGTCCGGCCGCACGCCCATGCCCCGGGTGCTCGCGGCGCCGACGCGGCCCCGCGCCTTGGGCGAGAACTTCTCGACGCCCGCGGGCTTGCCCTTGCGCTGCGACGTCGGCGACAGGTACTCGTCCAGATTCGCCGACGAGCCCGCGCCGATGTACTGGCCGTGGCGGTTGTAGCCCTCGGTGGCCTGCGCGGCCTGGCGGTTCTGGAGCCGCCGGAGCGCCGTGAAGGGGCTGTTCGGGTTGCCCGCCGTCGCGTCCGCGAGCATCTTGCTCGACACGTAGGACTCGGAGATCTGGTCCATGGAGCTCCGCTCGACCTGGACGGGCGCGCGCGCGGGCTGGAACTTGGTCATCTTCTTCTCCTTGAGGGCCTTGCCGGAGTCGCGCGCGTGCTGGTCGACGACGCGGCCGTGCGCCGCGCGCGCGCGGGCATGGTCCCCGCCCCGCAGCAGGTGCTCCTCCGCGTTCTGCTCCTTGAACGCCTCGAGCTGCTCGCGGCGCATCGCCCGCGCGTCCGCGAGGTCGTCGAGGGGCGCGACCTCGTCGCCGCCGCCGTCGTCGTCGCCGCCGCCCTGCTCCGCCGCGCGGCGCTCGAGCGACGCGCGGCGCCGGTCCGCGTCCGTCTCCATGATGTCGTCGGCCGTCGTGTACTTGTTGGACCGGAGGCGCGGCGTCAGCATCTCCTGGCCGGGGTGCTGCCCGGGCTGGATCTCCCGGTGGTGGTGCGACGTGTTCGAGCCGCCGCTCTCGTAGGACCCGAGGCTCGCGTTGTCCGGCTCGAGGGCGCCCGCGGCCGCCGCGTTCTTGCTCCCGCCCGAGACCTGGGACCCGCCATCGGCGTCGTCGAAGACGAGCTCCTTTTGGCGGATGGACTGGCGGGACATGGTCGCGCTCCTCGTGCTCCCGGGCTACGCGCCGGCGGTATTCACGGCGCGATGGCCGTCTTCGGCGGCAACATCTCGCGCGCGCTATTGGTTTTGTGTCATCTTTAGCCTCAACATCCTCAAGGAGCACTTGCTCTCCGGGCTGCCTCGAACTCGTTTGAATCCTTCGTCGACGCGCCGCGCCTCATCAACTCGCGCTCACGGGCCGCGAGGGCCTCGTGCTCGTGCCTCTCGCAGCGTTCAAACTATGCCCATCGGCGCCCCCACCCCGGACAAGCGGCGGCAGCCGAAGGCGCCGTCGCGCGTCGCCGACGAGGAGGCCTTTGGCGTCGACGAGGCGCCGGCGGCGGCGGGCAGCCCGGCGGCGCCGGGCAGCCCGGCGGCGCCGGGCAGCCCCCCGGCGGCGGCGCCGGCGGCGCCGGCCTGGCTCAACAAGGACGGCCTCATGGCCTTCTACCGCACCTACAAGCCCGAGTACGCGACGGCGAGCCAGGTGTCGACGATCCTCGCCAAGTACAAGGGCCGCGAGCGCACCCTGGCGACGATGCTCGCCCGCAAGTACGGCCCCGCCTTGGTCGCCGCGGAGCAGCACGCCGTGCGCCTCGAGGTCGCGCGCCACGCGGCGCCCAAGCCTTCGGTCGCGTCGCGGCCCGCGCTCAAGCCCGCGAACGCGCCGGCGGCGGCGGCGCCGGCGCGCGCGGCGTCGCCGCCCGCGAAGGAGAACGCGCCGGCGGTCTCGCCGCGGCCGTCGCCGACGAACCCCGTGACGGAGTGGCTCGCGAAGCACGCCGTGCCCCGGAAGCCGCGGTCGCCGTCGCCGAACCCCTTCGTCGACGCCGCGCCGGCGACCGTGACGCCGCCGAGGCGCGCGCCGGAGAAGCCCGTCGACGAGGCCGCGTCGCTCGCGGCCGCGATCCGGTCCCTCGACGCGGAGCGCCGCGGCGGACCGCGGCGGGCCTGGCCCCGGGGCCTGCTCGTCGGCGCCCTCGTCGCCGCGGCGCTCGCGGCGCCGCGCTGGCGGCGCTGCGAGTGCCCGCCCGCGCCGGCGGCCGCGCCGCGCGCCGCTGACGAGGCCTCGGACCCGTTCTTGCTCCTCGACGCGCCCGTCGACGACGGAGCGTTGGTCCGACTCGACGCCCGCGGACTCGAGCGGCCGCGGGCCGGTGGAGTCCAACGGCACGCCGTCGTCGCCGTCGAGGTGGCGGACGTCGGCGAAGCCGCCGTCGCGGACGTCGAGGCCGCGGAACCCGAGGCCGTCGCCGAGGAGATCACCGTCGCGAAGGAATTCGCGCCCGCGCCGCCGCCGGCCTCAGTGGCGACGCCCCAGGCGCGGGGCGTCGTGCGGAAGATCGCCTCGCACGGCCTCATGATGGTCTGCGGCGCGGTCCTCGGCCCGCACGTGCGCGGATCCGCGATCGCGGCCAGGGTCGTATCGATGCTCGCGCCGCGGCTCGCGAAGCTCGGGCCGCTCCTCGGAATCGCCAAGGCCCGCGTCGGCCCCGTCGTCGCGGCGACGTGGGCGCGCGCGCGCGGCATCGAGGCCTGCATCGTCGTCCCCTGAGCGTCCGTCTTCTTCTTATCACGCTAGTTAGCCGCGGCACAGGGGCCCCGGATCCATATTGAAGTCAACGCGATGACCACCTCTGCGAGGAACCCACATTAGGGCACGTACCGCGACGTCGCGGGCGCGTGCGCGAGGTTCTCCTCGCCCAGCGGCGACCGCGGCGGCGCGGGCGCGAGCGCGAGCGGCGCGCGGTCGCCCCCCGGCGGCGGCGCGTTCTCCAGCAGCAGCGGCGGCGGCGACAACGACCGGCTGCCGTACTTGGCCTTGTCGAGCGCCACGGCCGTCGCGCCGTGCGTCTTCCGGAGCTTGGCGAGCTCGCCCGCGGCCGCGTCCGCGCGCGCGCGCTCGCGCTCCGCGCGCTTCTCCCACTTGCGGAGCGCGGCCGCGTGGTCCGCCTTGACCCCGTCCAATTTCGCGAGCCAGTCGCCGTGGTCGAGGGCGTGCTTGGCGCCCTCGAGCTGGACCGTGCGCGCGACCTCGTCGCGCTGGACGGCGTCGAGCGCGCGGAGCGCGGCCGCGTGCTTCTCGCCGTCCGCCGCGCGCGCCGCGTCCGCGGCCGCGGCCGCCTCCAGCAGGCCCGCGGACGTCTCCGCGAGGCACTTGCGCCCGTCCTCGAGGGCCGCGAGCACCGCGGGCTTGTCGCCGACGGCGAAGACCGTCCGCAGCTCCTGCGCGGTCGCCGCGACCGCGCGCGCCTTCGCGAAGAGCGCCTTCCGCGACCGCGAGTGGAGCGCGAGGCCCCGGCGCGCGGCGTCGCGCGCGTCCTCGGCGCCCGCGAGCGTCGCCCGGAGCGCGACGACGTCGCCCTTGACCTCGCGCGCCTCGAGGAGGTCCTGCTTGAGGTCGTCGCACTTGGCCCGCTGCGAGTCGCGCGCGTCCCTCAGGCGGTCGCGCTCCTCGGCCCAGGACTTGCTGAGCGCCTCGAGCTCCCGGGCCTTGACGGCGTCGGCGGCGGCGCGGTCCTTCAACAGCTGCTCCGCGGCCTCGAGCGCCTTGGCCGTCTCTTCGGCGCTGCGTTTTTTCGCGGCCTCGGCGGCGTCCGCGGCCGCGGCGAGCTCCGCGCGGAGCTCGGCGCTCTCCTCGGCCGCGCTCTCCGCCGCGGCCCGGCTCGACGCGAGGGCCGCCGCGGCCTCGGCGAGCTTCGCCCGGAGGCCCGCGGCGTCGCCCGCGGCGCGCGCCGCCTCGGCCTCGGCGTCGCGCGCCGCCGCGGCCGTCGCCGCCACCGTCTCCCGCGCCTCGTCCCGCGCCGCCGCGGCCGCCGCGGCCTCGCGCGCGAGTTTCGCGCCCTCGGCGCGCAGCTCCTCGACGGCGTCCTCCGTCGCGGCGCGCGCGTCGCCGGCCGCGGCCTTGGCGCGCCGCTCCGCGTCGGACTTTTCCGCGCGCGCGGCCTCGAGGTGGCGGCGCAGCTCCTCGCTCACCGCGTCCGCGCGCCGCAGGGCCGCCTCGGCCTCCTCGAGGCGCTCCTCGACGTCGCCGACGGCCTCGCGCGCGGCCGCGGCGCGGCCGTCGGCCGCGGCCCGCTCCGCGCGCGCGGCGCGCGCGTCCGCGCGCGCGGCCTCGGCGTCGGCCCGCGCCTCCCGCGCCGCGCCCTCGGCGTCGTCGCGCCGCGCGTCGGCCTCCCGGGCGGCCGCGGTCGCCGCGGCCGCGGCGTCGCGCGCGGTCGCGGCCGCGGCGACGTCCGCCTCCGCGGCGTCGAGGTCCCGGCGCAGCGCCTCGGCCTTGCGCCGCGACGCCTCGGCCTTGCGCTTCGCCTCGTCGGCGGCGGCCCGGAGCGCGTCCGCCGCGGGCACGCGCCGCTCCGCCGCCGCCAACGCCTCGCGGAGCGCCGCGGCCTCGCCGGCGTCCGGCCGGCCGTCGAGGTCCTCGCGCAGCGCCGCGGCCTCGGCGCGCGCCGCGTCGAGGTCCGCGCGCAGGCTCCGCGCGAGCTCCATGCGCACGGGGCTCCGCTCCCGCGCCGCGCGGAGCCGCTCGCGCAGCTCGCCGAGCTCGCTCCGCATGGCCTCGCTCGGCGACGCGGGCGCCTGCGCCTCGACGACGCGCGGCCGGTCGCGCAGCGCCTCGAGCTCCGCGTCGCGCGCGGCCACGGCGCGCCGGAGCGCCTCGCGGTCCGACGCGGCGGCCTCGAGCTCGGCCCGGAGCGCGCGGGCGTCGTCTCGGAGGTCGGCGACGTCCGCGTCCCGGGCGTCGTCGTCGCGGTCCGGGACGTCGTCGCGGTCCGCGGCGCGCCGGGGGGGCGCGCCGGCCTCGCCGCGGAGCCGCTCCATCCCTTCGTACTTCGCCCGCGCGTCCTCCGCGTCGGCGCGGAGCCCGGCGATGACGCCGTCCTTCGCCCGCGCCTCCGCGCGGAGCCGCGCGAGCTCCTCGCCGGCGTCGTCGCCGGCGCGGCGGGGCGCGGACGACGGCGCCGCGAGGTCGACGGCCGCGCGCGGCGACGGCGGCGCGCGCCGGAGCCCCGCGACCTCCGCCCGGAGCGCGTCGCCGGCCGCGAGCGCGCGGTCCCGGTCGCGGCCCGCGGCGTCGAGCGCGGCCTCGAGGTCGGCCACGCGCGCCGCGAGCCGCCGGTCCGCCGGGCCCCGCGCGTCGCGCCGCGCCGCGTCGAGGTCGCGCGCGAGGTCCCGCCTCTCCCGCGCCTCGGCCTCGAGGCGCGCCCGGAGCGCGGCGACCTCGTCGCGCGCGCGGGCCAGCGCGTCGCTCTCCGCCAGGGTGCCCTCGTCCGCGGAGAGGCCCGACTCGTCGCCGCCGCCGCCGCCGCGGAGCACCGCGTGGTCCAGCGCGTCCGCGGACGCGCGGCCTCGGCTGTCGTCGTCGCGCGCCGCGAGGCGCGCCTCGGCGGCGAGGGCCCGCGCCTCGGCGGCGGCCCGCGCGCGCCGCTCCTCGGCGAGGGCCGCGTCGCCCGCGTCGCGCGCGGCCTTGGCGCGCGCGTCGAACGCCGCGGCGGCCTCGTCGCCCGCGTTCCGCGCGCGCGCGGCGCGCTTCCGCTCGTCCTCGTAGTCCTCCGCGGCGCGGGCCGCGCGGCGCTCCGCCGCGGCGGCCTCGCAGCGCGCCTCGTCGGCGGCCTCGAGCGCGAGGCGCGTCGCCGCCTTGGCGTCGTCGGCCTCGCGCTGCGCGGCGACGGCGGCCGCGCGCTCCTCGGCCGCGCGGCCCAGGGCCTCCTTCGCCGCGGCCGCGGCGGCGTCGCACTTGTCCTGGAGGGTGGCGCGCGACGCCTCGTCCGGCGCGGCGTCGTCGGGCGCGCCGCGGTCGCCGCGGCGCCGCCGGAGCCGCTCGTACTTGGCGCGCGTCCTCGCCTCGGCGTCGCGCGCGTCCTCGAGCAGGTCCTTGAGCCGCGACCGCTCCTTGGCGGCCTGCGCGAGCCGCTGCTGCGCGTCCGCGAGGGCGCTCGACGCCTCGCGCAGCGCGTCGTCCCGCGACTCCCGCGACCGCGACGCGAGCTCGATCGCGCGCGCGACGTGCTCCGCGCCCATGGCCTTGTGCGTCGCCAAGGCGGCGCGCTCTTCTGCTGCGTTGACGCGCTCGATGAGGCGAGACTCTCGGACTTCGTCCATGCCCATGGTGGCGCCCGAACCGCAGAGCCAACCGTGTGCTTTGCGGCGCGCGACGCCCGAATGCCACAGCCCAAACCGTGTCCGGCGCGCCGGCGAGGCGGCAAGATGTGTGCAGCCCAGACCGGGTGGGAGCTGCCCGCTGCGCCGGTTCGAAGCGCGTCGGCGCTGCGCACGAGGGCTGCCCGGGAAGCGGCGCTGCACCCACCGCACGAGGGCTGCCCGCCGCGTTGGAAGCGGCGCTGCACCCACCGCGCCGCGTTTGCCATGGGCGACGCGCACGACGAGAAGCCGTGGCGCCAGCGGCCGCCGGCCAAGGCGCTGTGCATGGAGGACGTCTTCGCCGAGCGGCCCGTGGCCATGCACCTGCCGCCGTCGATCCTCAACCACATCCCGCTGCGCGGCTGGCACCGCCACGTGATATTGAGCGGCGAGGTGCTCGGCCCGTCGGCCGCGTGCGTCACGCACTGGGCGCCCTTCGACGCGGCGTCCGAGGACCCGACGGAGCGGCGGCTCCTGCGGAGCGCTGCGGAGGTCAAGGAGTGGCTCGCGAACTGCAACGCCCAGTCCTACCTGCCCCGCTTCGACTTCGGCGTCGCGAGCTGCCTGGGCCACTGGCCCGTCCTCGAGCGCGACACGCTCGTCACCGAGGCGAACGGCGGCGCCGTGCCCGCGTGCCTCGGGCAGCTGCCGCCGCGGTCGTCGGGCCCCCACTACAACGACAGCCGCAAGTTCGACGAGTACGAGATCTACGTGGCGAACGCGCTCGGGTTCCCCATCGACCGCTACTTCGAGTACATCGACGAGGCGAGCTTCAAGTTCACGCACCACCCGTACCTGAAGACGCTCCGCCACAGCGTCCAGCAGGACATCGCGCGCCAGTGCCGCGACGAGCAGGCGAAGCGCCGGGGCGCCGACGACCTCTTCGAGCGCGCGGAGCCGGCGTCCCGGCATGATCTTTTCGGCCCACGGGGAGAACGTAGGCGAGAAGCGGCTCTGCTACCGCCACGCGCTCAACGCGAAGCACGGCCGCGCCGCGCCGCCGCGGGGCTCCGCGAGCAACACGCCCCGCGGCCCGCCGACGGAGGAGGGGAACCTCGCCCTGCTCGCGGGCAGCCTCGACATGCGCGCGGGCGGCGCCTATCGTTCGCCGTTTGGAACCTCGAACGCGACCGCTCCGCAGGCTCGCGGGCGCGCACGGCGAGACGAAGCACGACGACGACGGCGGCGACGGCGGCGAGCCCGTGTCCCTGCTGCTGACGCCGTCGGCGCTCGTGCGGCCGGGCATGAACCTGCTGTACCACGCCGCGGGCTGCTTCGACCGCGACGAGCTCCTCGCGAGCACGCCGCACGTCGCGGAGCTCCGCGAGGACGTCTTCCAGTTCCCGCTGCTGACGCCGGAGTACTGCGCCCACCTCGCCCACGTCGCCCTCGCGTTCCGCGACGCGGCGCAGAGCCTGAGCTCGGCGACGCTCGGCGACGGCGCGACGAAGCCCGCGCGCGTCTGCGTCGACAAGCTCGGGCTCACGGAGGACGTCGCGTCCGAACTCTTGGCCCGCGTCGTGCGGCCCCTGGCGGCGCGGCTCTACCCGGACCTCGGCGGCGCGTCCCTGGACCACCACGTCGCCTTCTTCGACGGCCGCGGCGCCATCGTCAAGCGGCAGACCTCCATGGACATCCCCGGGAGCCGCGAGCCGACGGGCCTCGACACCTACGCGTACCGCCTCGAGGACGAGGCGGAGGTGACGTTGGATATCTGCCTGCGGTCCCGGGCGACGGAGGACCGGGTCCGCAGCCGCTACCTCCACGGCAGCGACGCGGTGCCCGTCGGTGTCGTCGAAAACTCTCGTCTCGACTGATTTTTGGACGAGCGACCCTCATGATCTGGCTCCAGTCTTCCTCTCTCGAAGGAGAGCACGTTCGTACACGGTTTTATTGCCACGCAGGTGCCCGTCGAGCCGCCGACGGAGGTCAGCCACCACGCCGTCGGCGCGGCGCTCCTCTACCGGGGCGACGAGCGCCACAGCCGCGTCGTCGGCGGGCCCGAGGAGCTCCACCTCGTGCTCTGGTGCCGGTCGTCGCAGCACCGCGACCTCTACGCCTACACGGGCGACGAGGACATCCGCCTCTACGGCCCGCTCGCGCACGAGTACAACGAGCCGGGCGTGCCGGGCCCGGGCGACCACGACGGGTCCCTCACGCGCAAGCCCTTCGACTTCAAGGGCTACCCGGAGCCCCCGCCGCCGCCCATCGCGCCGGGCACGCACGCGCTCGACGCGTCCGTCCTCAAGTTCTCCGACGAGGACGACGGCGACTGGCGCGTGACGTACTAAGAAGATGGGTGTGTACCCGCGGGGGCCCTCGAAGGACTCTTCGGCCGGCTTGCGAAGAGGAGGCCCGCGCGCGGCGACGGGGATTGGAAACAGGGGGGCGGGAGTTCGAGCGAGAAGCGGGATGGTTCCGGTTCGGGGCCGCTACTTGTTTCGCGAGAGCACGATGTAGCAGACGGAGATCAGGGCGTCGCGGGCCTCCGAGTCCGGGGCGACGCGGCAGATGGCGTCGACGGCGCGCTGCGCGTGGAAGTGCGCGAGCTTGCGGCTGAGCTCGAGGCCCCGCGACGCGCGCACCGTCTCGTACGCGCGCGTGACGTCGCCGTCGCCCTTGAAGCGGCGGTCGATGAGCGGTCGGAGCTCGGGCAGGTCCTGGGCCGCGTAGAGGATCGGCGCCGTCGCCAGGCCGAGGCTCAGGTCCGCGCCCGCGGGCTTGCCCAGGTCGTCGCTGTCGACGACAAAGTCGAGGACGTCGTCGACGATCTGGAACGCGAGGCCGAGGTGGTAGCCGTACTCCTCGGCGGCGCGGGCCGTGGCGCTGTCGAAGTCGTGGCCCGCGAGGAGCGCGCACGACTTGGACGCGTCGCAGATGAGCGACGCCGTCTTGTAGTACGACTTCCGGAGGTACAGTTCCATCTCCTTCGCGTCGCGCGCGGCGATCTCCGATTTTTTCTGCTTGCCGTCCTTGCCCAGCTTCAGGGCCGCGAGGGCGCGCTCGAAGAAGGACGGCTTCGCCTCCGGGGCCGCCGCGGGCGCGTCGCGCGACTCGTCGCCGTCGGCCGCGGCCTTTTTGTCCGCCGCGCCGTTCGACTTGATCTGCATGATCTCCCCCGAGACGAGGGAGTCGAGGGCCTTGGCCATGACCTCGACGACCTGCTTGTGCTGGAGCCGCGCGAGCAGCACGGACGCGCGCGCGAGCAGGTAGTCGCCGGAGAGCACCGCGACCTTGTTCGAGTACATCTTGTGGATCGCGTCGCCGCCGCGCCGCGTGTCCGCGTCGTCGAGCACGTCGTCGTGGATGAGCGACGCGACGTGGATCATCTCCGTGATCTGGCCCAGGCGGTCCTGCTTGGCCTTGCACGTCTCGGCGTCGTCGCGCGCGTGGACGACGGGGAGCGCTTTCGCCATGAGCGCGACGATCGTCGGCCGGAACCGCTTCCCGTGGCGCTGCTCGAAGAACATGGTCGCCGCCTGGGAGAGCACGGGGTTCTCCGTCTCCACCAGCGCCTTGACGTTGTCGCTAAAGGGCGTCAGCTCGTCGCGGCAGAGCGCGAACGGGTCCGCGATCGGCGGGCCGCGCGCGAGGTCGATCGTGTGCGCCTCGCTGTTCGCGGGGCGGCCGGCGGTCACGTCGCTCAGGCGCAGGTCCATGGTCGGGAGCGTGGCGTACACCTAGGGGCGGGGGGGTGTCTTTCGACGCGCGCTCGGCGTCCCGTGCCGGCGCTCTCGCGTTCGATGGGGCGGGGGTGTTTTTGACGCGCGCTCGGTGTTCTCGGGCGTCTTTGACGCGCGCTCGGTGCTCTGTGCTGGCGCTCTCGCTCTCGAAGGGATGGGGGGCGTTTTTGGCGCGCGCTCGATGTTCTGTGCTGGCGCTCTCGCGCTCTGAGCGAGAGCGCGCGTCGGCGGACGCGGGAGCGCACGTCGACGCTCCGCAGCGGGGACGACTCGGCCTTCGCGTCGCCCTCGGCGACCTTCGGCAGCGTCGCGGCCTTCAGCGCGCGGACGCCGCGCCGGGCGCGCGGCGTAGTGGACATGCTCGAGCTCTGACCTGGCGCCAAGTAGCCCAGCGTGCCCGTGTTCAGCGTGACCGTGCATGAGACGATCGCGAGCGCTGCGCGCATGTGCCAGCGCGCCATCGCTGGGAATGAGCGCCCGAAACAGGGCCACGAGACGAGGCCGCTTCCCCGCAATCTGCCAATAGGCCGGACTGAGTCGACACGCTCTTGAGTCCTTTGCTGGCGGGATCGGCCGCTGCAACTTGAGTCAAGGTTTGTGTAGAACTCATGTTGAATACGGACGCGGAATGGCGACATAACGCGGGGGGCTTCGCTCCAGCCGACACTCTCGCCACAACTGTTAAGGCGGCGTCCCCGATGCGCGCGCGAGCGGCGGCGCGGGGTCGATTTTTCTATGTGCATGGGTCAGTCGAGGTACATGACCGTGACGATCTTGTCCATCTCCTTGGCCTCGTCGGCGGCGCGGACGACGTTGTTCGAGTCGTGGAAGGCGAAGGCGACGAGCTGGTCGACCGTCGTGATGAGCTTGCGGTTGCAGCGCTTCGAGGCGACGTCGAGCGTGAGCGCGTCGTTCTCGGGCATCTCGACGACCTGCACGACTTCCTTGATGAGGTCCTGGCTGTCCTCGGGCTGCTGCTTGAGCGACTGGGGCAGGATCACCGTCAGCAGGTCCGTCGAGTTCGCGCGGAGCGCGCCGCGGATCGCCGCCGCCTAAGAGACGGGGGGCGATGAGACGGGACGCTTCGGACGCGCGTCGGACGCCGCGGCGCGCGTTCGTGCCCGACGCGCCGGACGTGTAGACGTGGTTCCCGGAGAGGACGAGCGCGTAGGAGAGGAGCTCGATGATCTGCTGGTGGAGGTAGGAGCAGTGCCTCGTGCCGAGGATGCACACCTTGCGCGGGCCCTGGCCCTGGATCTCCCGGAGCTCGCGCCTGTGTGTGGTTACGAGGGTCTTCGCCGGTGTCACTACTCGAAGAGACGCGGTACGCCGCACAGCATGTCCTCGATACCGATCTGCTTCTCGACTTTAATCTGCGGAGCGCCGACGTCCGTCGACTTCTCGAGCGTCGTCACGCGCGAGTCGCCCTCGAGCGGCGCCCGCTCCCGGTCCCGCGCCAGCGCCTCGGCGGGCGGTGCGGCGGCGGCGTCGCCCGCGCCCGCGGGTCGTCGCTCCGCCGGCGCGGCGGCGGCGGCGGCGGCGTCGACGGAGCTCGACAGGTCGTCGCCGCGGCTCGCGCGCGGCAGCAGCGCGCCGGACCGCGGCAGCCGCCGTCGCGCGGGGGCGATCCAACGGTTCGTTTTTGCGAGCGGCGCGCGCGCGGTGCGGTCCGCCGCGAGCGCGAGCGCATAGAGGAATAGAGCGACCATATTCCAAAGGACCAAACTCGCGAGCGGTCCGGCTGCGAGAACGCGGACGCCGCGCCGCTTCGCTGGGTCGACGGCCCGGGTTCCAAGCGAACTAGGCCGCTCCGATCGCTCGGGCGCCGCACGCGCAACGGGCACTGGCCGCGCGCGCGCTCCGCCGGTTCGAGTGGTGCCAGCAGCCGCCGATCCAGTGTCGGAAATGGCGCGCCGACCCCCGGCGACGATCGCGACGGCGACGCGGGCGCGCTGCGAGCGAGCCTCCAGACAACACCCGCGAGAAAGCTTACGCGCCGCGCGAACTCCCCGGCCGTCGGCGCAGGCGCGGCGGCCGTCGGCGCAGGCGCGGCGGCGAGGCCGGCGGCGGCGCCCCGTCGCTCGGCGCGTCGACGAGGGCCGCGGACGACGTGAAGCGCCGGCGGAGCTTCGGCGGCCCGCAGAATTTCATGAATTTCTTGCTACAGTCGAAGATGACGAAGGCGTTGAAGATGCCCATGATCGACAGCACGAGCGCGCCGCAGGCGCGCATGCGCGGCTCGCCGTCGAGCGCCGCGAGGAGCCGCCGGCCGACGACGACGTAGCGGAACCCCCGCGACCAGAGCACCGCTCCGAGCGTCACGGACACGGACATTTGCATCCGCCGGAACTGGGCCGGCACGTCGAGGTCCAGCGTGTACCCGTAGAGCTGGAAGAAGCCCGCCCAGAACGCCGCGAACTGCAGGAGCATGATCATCTCGTGGTAGTCGCGGCTCCCGCGGTGGCGGAGGTTCATCGGCACGACCATCAACTGGCCCATGAGGTGGTGGCCCGCGAGGATGAGCACGAGGTTCCGCGGGTTGCGTTTCCGGCCCCGTTCGCCGCCGAAGAGGAGCTGGCCGCCGCGCGAGACGATGTCCGACACCTCCCAGCCCGCCTCGCACAAGCCGCCGTGCATGGCGAGGGAAGTAGCGAGAGCTCCGGCGCCGCCGAGCACCGACGGCAGGCAGAGCGCGCCGCCGACGAGGTGCTGGCAGAGCACCGCGCCCACGAAGAGCGTGAGGTCGAAGGCCTGCTCGCGCGTGAGGTCGACGTAGTAGCCGCTTCGGAACGTCCGCTGCGACAGGAACGTGAAGTCGTGCACGTAGGGTTGCTGCTTAAGGTACGCGCCGAGCCGCGCCGACGCCTTCTCGACGAAGGCGTACCAGAAGAGCGCGTAGATCACCACAAGGATGAGCTGGATCTCGACCGTCGACTCGGCGGCTAAGAGCCGGCCGACGAGCGCCATCTCGAGCGATTCTGATGCGTTTGCGCGTCGAGACTCTCCGTTCTTGCGAGTGGATCACTCGCCGGCGAGGATGTGCGCGGTTAGCGACTCTTGCGCCCAAAAATGCCACAAATCTACCACAAAAATATTTTAGCCTCAAAATCCGCCCAAGGAGGCGTCCAAGGAGGAATCTGCCCACAAAAAACACACTAGTCTACTCCAGAGCGCCGCCCGCGCCGCCGCCGAGGACCCCGCCAGACAGGAAGAAGACGACGACCATGAGCGCGTTCGCGCAGGTCGTCGGCCGCGGCCGCGCCGGCGCGGCGACGTCGTCGCTGCGGCGCCGATCCGCGCGGAGCCGCACCAGCTCGCCCTCTTTCAGCTCGAGATTGTGTCTCTCGACTTCGAGGGCCTCCTGGAGCCGGAGGAGCGCGTCCCGGGACCGCGCCGCCTCGCGCCGCTCCGCCTCGAGCGCGGCCTCGGACGCTCGCCGCGCGTCCGTCGCGGCCGCGAGCTCGTCGCGGAGCGCCGCCTCCGCGCGGCGCGCGGCCTCGAGGGCCGCGCGCTCCCGCGCCCGCGCCTCCTCGAGCCGCTCGTCGGCCTCGCGGCCGTCGGACGCCCGCGCGGCCTCCTCGGACAGCCGCGCGGCCTCCTCGGACAGCCGCGCGGCCTCCGCGTCCGCGCGCGCCTCCTCGGCGTCGGCGCAGGCCTCGACGACCGCCGCGCGCGCCGCGTCGGCCGTCTCGCGCGCCGCCTCGCTCGCCGCCAGGTCGCGCCGCAAAGCGCCCAGCGCCCGCTCGAAGAGCTCGCAGGCCTCCTCGCGCGACTCGAGTTCGCGCCGCGTTGCTTCCAGCGACGCCTCAACCACCTCGACGGCCGCGTCGCGCTCCGCGAGCTCGGCGCGCAGCCCCGCGGCCGCCGCGCGCGCCGCCGCGGCGTCGGCCTCGGCCGCGCGCGCCGCGGCCTCGAACGGCGCCTCGGCCGCGTCGCCGTCGTCGTCGTCGTCGGAGAAGAGGTCGTGGCTCCCGAAGCGCGCCGCGTTGAGCGCCGCCTCCTCGGCCCCGTGGTCGTGCGCCTCCGCCGTTTCCGCGGCGACCTCGGCGCGCGTCCAGCCCGTCGCGCTCGTCCGGACGTTGACGAAGTACGCGCGCCCCTCGGCGTCGGCCGCCTCGACGACGCCGTCGGCGTCCGGCGCCGGCGCCGACGCGCCGAGCGCCTCGTCGAGGGTCCAGTGCGTCGTGCCCGTGCGCGCGTTGTGCCAGAACTCGGTGCCGTCCTCGTCCGCGTGCCGCGACACCGGGTCGTCGCCGGCCGCCTCCTCCGGCGCCGGCGCCGCGGCCGGCGACGCGGCGGCCGGCGCTGCCTGGTGCTTCGTCGCCGGCGGGCTCGAGGCGCGCTCGAGCTTGCCCTTGAGGTCCAGCGCCACCAAGGGGTCTTCCCGCGGCGGCTCGCCCTCGAGCGGCACGAGCTTGCTCTTGCGCAGGTCCAGGCTCGTCACGAGCACGTCCGGCGAGAACGAGAGCCGCCGGCGCCGCGTCGGCGACCGCTTCGTGCCGGACGACGGCTTGAGAATGCGAGGGGCCGGCATGCCTCGATCAGCAGCCCCGGGCCCTTTCAAAAAAAAGATCACCATGCACTTCAAGTTACTCGGGCGGCGTCATGTACGAGCAGCCCAGAGGGAGGTCGCGGTGACTGGTGCTCGCGTCCTCCCTCCGAAGCCGCCCCGTTGTAAACATGCTGCTCTTCAACTTGGCAAGCTATTACTCGAGCCGCGGGAAGGGCGGCGACGCGGCGAAGCGCGCGGAGGCCCGGAACAGGTCCGCGGCGCTCGAGCTCGACTCGAAGTCGATGGAGCGGAGCTCCGCGCGGCAGGCGAGGAGCTCGTGCTTCGGGTGCCGCGCGATCGCCGGGTCCTCGGCCTCGCGGTAGCGCGCGGCGACGGCGGCCTCGCGCTTCGCGATGGCCGTGCGGCGGGGGTCGACGGGCGGCGGCGACGCGCCGCGCGCGGAGAAGAAGGGCGTCGCGGCGCCGCGCGCCGGCCGCCGCGCCGGCGTCGCGCCGGACCGCGCGCGGCCCGCGAGCTCCGCGGACGCGCGCGCGGCGACGAGCGCCTCGCGCGCGGCGTCGGCGATGGGCCCCCGCGACGACGACACGGAGCCGAGGTCGAAGGACGACGCCGACGACAGGGACCGCGCGTCGTCGTCGTCGTCGCCGGGCGCCGCGGCGGCCGGCGGCGGCCGCGCGGGCGCCGGCGCGGGCCGCCGCCGCCGCTCGGGCGCCGGCGCGACGGGCGCGGGCGCGGGCGCCTGGACGGCCTGGGCGAGGTGCGCGAGCTCGGACGCGAGGTCCACGAGGCCCCGCTGCTGGAATCGCTGCTCGGCCTCGATGGCCTTGACGATGTCCTCCGTGTCGTCGGCCGCGGGCGTCGGCGGCGACAGGGGCGACAGGCGCGGCGGCGACGCGGGCCGCCGCCGCAGCACCGACGGCGACACGGACCGCCGCCGGCCCGGCGACGGCCGCCGCGCGGCGCGCGCGGCGACCGCGGCGTCGCGGCGGTCGTCCGCGTCCGCGTCCGCCGACGGCGACCGGTCGCGCCGCGGCGTCGGCGACGCGGAGCGGTGGCGCGACCGCCGCTGCGGCGTCGGCGACGCGGAGCGGTGGCGCGACCGGCGGCGCGGCG